AGCTGATATCAGAACCCCTGGAGCTGGAGTTACAGATGCTCGTGAGCCACCCAGCGTGGGTGCTGGGAACTGAACTCTAGTCAACTGGAGTCCTCTGCATGGGCAGAAAGTGCATTTAACCACTGAGCCATCTCTCCAGCCTCATCGAACCGCAGTTTTTTAAACCAAACATTCTAACATAATCCAGAGATTTACACACTTGATTCTTCTGTGTGGAGGAATGATGGTAGGAAAACAGGAAGTCCTTGTGTTCTGTAGTTAAACCGTTAATTCTGTAAGAGCAGAAGGCTTTGCATGTGCAGTAAAAACACTATAATTCATAACGTGTCATTCAGTGTTTGTTGGCGTTGTGTGGCATGATGGCATGTGTAATGCTGAGTGTGTCTGTTACATGTTCAGAACTAGGGCTACAATTGGTGTGGTGGCTCATCCCTGTGATCAGTCCTAACACTCAGGAGTCAGGGGCAGGAAGATCTCTATGAGTTCAAGTCCAGCTTAGTCTACACAACACAGTTCAGACCAGCCAGGACTACGTAGTGAGACCCCGTCTCACAAAACAGAACAGAACTGGGGCTGCAGACCAGGGCTGCGGTGAAGTCACATGATACAACACAGGTAAGCACTGCCAGAGACCCTGGCTTCATGGAGCGCATTCAGAAACCTTTTACAGTTGCCAAGTGTTTCACAACACCTGGGTTTGGTTATGTAATCCAGTACGGACTTGTGACCCACAGTTTAGGAAGCTGTGTGCTTGATAATATCAAAAAACAGAGACAATAGGGGGGAAGTAAAGGAAAAATTAAAGCACTAACAGGAAAGGGCTATGCTTCTGAAATCTCATCAGAATCAGAGGCAACCTTCTGCTGCCCAGACGGGTAAGGACCAGTCCACGGGGACTGTGCTGGGAACAAAGGTTTCTCAAGGACCTTGGTAATTGGGTGAGATTGATAACTACAACAGAAGCCACGGCATTAATAATAAAGGGATCAGTGACACAAACAAATATATTTACAAGTCACTGACTCAAGTTGAGGTCTGCGAAGACCCAGATGTATCACCGCTTTCAAATTTATTTATGGATCCATGTCCTAATGTGATAAACAGTTGGCTTGTAAACTAAAGCTACTGAGAACTACCACATAGAACTCCGGCTGTTTTTCCTCGTATTCACTATGTGAGAGATGTCAGCAAGGCCACTGGTCCAGGACAACTCCTTACTCATCTGATGAATGGATGAGTGTGTCAAAGGATGAGCAGCCCACGGCTAACTCTTAATAAACAACAGCTCAGTCCCCTGTGGACAAACTTGGTGAGAACCCCAAAGTTCTACCACAGGGCCAGCAATGTCCCTCTTTAAGACCAATGTGGCCACACTGTGCAGGCAAGTGCTGCCCAAGGCTCCAGAAGGGAGATTGAAACCCTAGACTTTCAGTTGAGCCCACAATGAACTCCGAGAGGAGCCTCTGAGACCTCATCACCACCCACCCTGCCTGAAAGCCCCAAGGGGCATAGAAAGACTGTCTTCCCTTTCTCCTCCCCACCTTCCTGTCTTAGCTGTGGTCACAATTGCTGTGATGAAACACCATGACCAAAAGCAAATTGCGGGGGTGGGGATGTGTTGCAGGGGTGTTATTTCTCTCACAGTTCCATATCATCAAAAGCAGTGAGGGAAGGAACTCATGCAGGGCAGGAACCTGGAGGCAGGAGCTGATGCAGAGGCCATGGAGGGGTGCTGCCTACTGGCCTGCTCCTCACAGCTTGCTCAGCCAGCTTTCTTATAGAACCCAGGACCACCTGCCCAGGGCTGGCACAACCCGCAGTGGGCTGGGCTCTCCCCCATCAGACACTGATTAAGAAAATGCTCTAGAGCTGGATCTCTTGGCGGGGGTGGGGTGGGGGGAGTGTTGGGGTTTTGGGGGGGTTTTCAAGACAAGGTTTCTCTGTGTAACAGCCTTGGCTGTCGTGGAACTCTCTTTGCAGACCAAACTGGCCTCGAACTCACAGAGATCCACCTGCTTCTGCTTCCTGATTAAGGTCTGTGCCACCATGCCCTGCTAGAGCTGGATCTTATGGAGGCATTTTCCCAGTTGAGGTTCACTCCTTTCAGATGACTCTAGCTTGTGTCAAGTTGACACAAAACTAGCCAGGATACCCTTCCTTCAGACAGACCCTCCATCTGTCTCTCCATGGGCTCTATTCCTTGCTTTTTTGTCTGTGTGGCACTGACCGAAACAAGTTATAGAAAGACACACTTATTTTGGGTCTCTGTCCAACAGACCTGGAAGAGCAGTTCGGATGATGTCAACAGCAACATGTGTTATAGACTGTGCACATGGCAACTGCCCAGACAGCAGAGAGAGGACAATTCCAGAGCTTCCTGGCTTTCTCCTTTTCCTTTTTGTTTCATCTGGAGGCTGCCCATCAGATAATGACACCACATCTGGGATGGGTCTTTTCCTCTCCGTTAGCCCTCCAGATATGCCCCCATAGACTAACTACAATGAGCCTCAGTGTCTCAGGTGACTGTGAATGCAATCAAATTGACACTGAACCATCATTGCGACCAAAAAGCACCTGGGAGGAAGGGCTTATTTGGCTTCCACTTTCACACCAGCCCACCTTTGAGGAAGTCAGAGCAAGAACTCAAAGCAGGCGCCCGGAGGCAGGAACTAACACAGAAACAATAGAGGAACACCGCTTGTTGGCTCTCCCCCAGGCTCTGCTCAGCCACCATTCCACGTGATAGGCAAAGAAACTCTGTTTTATGCCAAGCATCAACTTGGTGCCCACCAGCTGCTTGTCTCTGACTCCAGTCCCTGGAAGATAAGTCCCTAGCAACCCTGACTCAGTGACCCCTACCCAAAAATGTACAGCCGTGACATTCTATCTACTTGTTATGACTCACTGCATTTTTTGCTTCTGTGACTTGCTTATGCAAACACCCGAAGATGTTTTGAAGCTGCCTTACCCTCTTAACTTAGCAGAACAGACCAGTTTTTGCTTCCTTGCTTGCATAGATATTGAAGGTTTTCTTGTGGTTTTCATCTTTAAGAAAAATCCTTCCCTGGCTGGGCGGTGGTGGCGAACACCTTTGATCCCAGCACTCGGGAGGCAGAAGCAGGCGGATCTCTGTGAGTTCAAGGCCAGCTTGGTCTATAAAGCAAGATCCGGGACAGACACCAAAACTACACTGAGAAACCCTGTCTTGAAAAACAAAACAAAACAAAATAATAATAATATAAATAAATAAATAAATAAATAAATAAATAAATAAATAAATAAATAAATAAATAAATAAATAGAAGAAAACTCCTTTCCCATCGATACCCCTCCTTCATGACAATCTCAAATTTGGCTCAGAGATTGTTTGTCCTGGTGGCAGCTAATCAGTAAATCTTTTAATTATAATTTGATTGAATTTATGGTCTTTTCCCAGGGATCACAAACTCCATAACACCTAGACATCCTATACCTCCCCTGATCACTTGGGCAGGAATGACACCACCACCCCCAGTGGGCTGAGCCCTCCTACACCAACAATTAACCAAGAAAATGCCTCAAAGACTTGCCTACAGAGCAATCTGATGAAGGCATTTTCTCAGTTGAGATTTCCCTTTACCCAGATGACCCTAGTTTACGTCAAGTTTACAAAAAAAAAGCTAATCATCACAGCAACCATGGCACAGATACTCCATCTTCCTCCAGACAGGCTCTATCCTCCTGCTCTAACCAGCACCTTTCCCTCATATTCCTTCAGGTCATCCTCTTGGGATCCCATAGGATTCTACAGCACCCACTCTCGTCCCTCGACATCATTGGTGAAAACACCGCAGCTGTATCTTCCCTGTATTCACAAATTGTGTAACTCAAACAGGAGCTGGCCATTGCTAATGGTGACAGCAGTAACCCTGTGGACTCCTAACTCTGGGAATGTATTCAGCATGGGTCAGGCTCTGCTCTAAGCTCTATGTGCCTATTACCTCACCTAATCTTCATCCACCCTATGAAGCCAGCAGTATTTTCACACTTATTTTACAAACTCTCTTCTTTTGGGGGGGGGGTTTAAGACAGGGTTTCTCTGTGTAGTTTTGGTGCCTGTCCTGGATCTCACTCTATAGACCAGGCTGGCCTTGAACTCACAAAGATCCGCCTAGCTCTGCCTCTCAAGTGCTGGGATTAAAGGCGTGCGCCACCGCCACCTGGCTCATTTTACAAACTCTTAACTTCAGAAATCACCCTTCTTAGGATGTGACCTTCAGGCTCTGCTCCTGAAAATATAAGATGCTATGTATTCAAAGATATTTATTATAGTGTCACTTCTAACGTACAAATGTTGGGAATAACTAGTCAGGTGCAATGCTGTGGGCCTGGAGTCCTAGCTACTCCAGAGACTCAGCTAGGGAGTGTTTGAGCCCAAGAGTTCAAGGTCAGCCTGGGCCACTGACTTAGATACTGTCTCAAAAGAAGAAAGAAAAAAGATATATAGACAAACAGTATCGAGTGCCTTCCCTTGGGTACACATGCATGCATGCATAGAAATGCAAGATGTATGGAAGTTATGCTATGTGTGGAGTTTATAGCTAGGGTGAGTTCTGCTGTGCACCCCAAAACAAAATGCTGGGGCTTCAGTGTCTTTCTTTTCTTTCCTTTCTTTCTTTTCCTTCCTTCCTTTCTTTTCCTTCCTTCCTTCCTTTCTTTCTTACTTTCTCTCTGTCTCTGTCTCTCTGTCTCTCTGTCTCTCTCTTTCTTTTTTTTTTTTTTTTTTTTTTTTTTTTCAAGACAGGAGTTTCTCTGTGTGTCCCTGGCTGTCCTGGAACTCGCTTTGAATGCGAAGATCTGCCTGGGCAGAGCCTCTTGGGCTTCAGTTTTCAAAGACTCTGTTAGTGTCTGTGACTGCTGCCCTCCGACCAGCAGAGGGCACCGTCCTCCCATCCCAACTTTTCCGTCTCGCAGAAGCGCTCGTCCAGAAGTTCCGCCCCCGGCGGAAGTCGTGCCGCTGGGCATCCCGGAAGTTAGCCGTATCTGCAGGCATGGGTGCCGCGGGCCGGGGTGGAGCGCACCGGCGCATGGCTCGCCCGAAGCGTAACGGCGGCTGCCGTGGTCCGGGCGGCGGGGAGGGGGCCCTGAAGCGGCTGCGGCTGGCCGTGGAGGACTTCGTGCGAGCTACCTCCGAGAGCGAGACCCGCGAGGGCCAGGGCGCCGTGGCGCGCTCCCGGCCCAGCGGGCGAAAGAGCCGCAAGGAGCTTCGTAAGGAGAAGCGACACCTGAGGAAAGCGCGGCGCCTGCAGAGGACGGTGGGCTCCGGGTCCGGGGACCAAGAGGCTAGTGTCGGCCTTACCGGAGGCCGGGAGCCTCCGCCGCCCTCCGAGACGCGACCGACCCCAGACTCGGCCACAGCGCACCCCGGCAAGGCCAAGGCTTCCTCCACTAACACTAAGGCCACGGCGACCCAGGCTAAGGCTAAGACGTCCTCTCCCAAGGCCACGGCGATCTCAACTAAGACCAAGGCTCAACGTGCCCCTGGAAAACCCGCCACCGCCTCCGCCTCTGCCACCGCCGCCGCCCGGAAACGGGCTCTTCTAGCGGCCAACGAGGAGGAGGACCGAGAGATCCGAAAGCTGGAGCGATGCCTCGGCCTGAACAAGCGCAAGAAGAAGGGCGACGGCAGCTCGGTGCCGCTCAGCTTCGCGCGCGACGGGCTGGATTACATTCTGGGGGCCCTGGAATGTGGGAGAGGCGGCGGCCTGTACGAAAGCAGCGAGGAGGAGGAGGAGGAAGAAAAGGCGGAGGCTGGACAGACACTCTCGGAGAGTGACCTAGAGGACAGTTCCGAGGCAAGTGAGGAGGACTCGGACTCGCAAGCGGAACAGGAGGATGTAAACTCGCAAAGGGAGAAAGCAGCAGAAGTTGAGACGCTAAAGAGTAAAGGGAATAAGAGAGTCCGTTTTGCAGAGGCGGTAGAAAAGAGCGAAAGTTCTTCGGAAGATGACGCTGAACATCAGGTATGACACCAACAACCTCTGGGCTGTCATTCCAAAGGGGGTGAGGGAGAGGGGCAGGTACAGAACAGTACTGGCGGTGACACACAAGGGCAGCCACGGCCTGCTGAAGGGAAGGCCGACCCAGACCATTGCAGGCATTCACTCAGTAGAACTTCGCTTTGTCAAACAACCGTGGCCTGTAGTGATAGCTGCTCCGAATCCTCATGAGGTTAGGATTTAGAGGAAATAACGTGGAAGAATACTAAATTTGTCCACTCTAACTTTTTTGCAATTTTATTCCTATCTTCAAGGAAAGTCACTGTGTTGAAAGTGGTGAAAAATACATCCCGCCTCGGTTGAGGGGCGAGGAGACAGTGGATGCCCACAAGAAGGAAGAGCTGGAAAGGCTGAAGAAGCAGGTTAAAGGCCTAATCAACAGGTAACCTGACAGAATTATTATTATTTAACTATAGAAACCATCTAAAGAGCAAACAGTGGGGCTAGGACTAGACAGTGTTCTGGATCCTTGTTCTTGGTGTGAGATAACTGGACCTAACCTTGAAGAGGTGGGATGCTCCGCTTTTGATATTGCCCTTTCCACGTTTGAAGACCTCTCACCGGTCATTCTTAGAAGCAAGAAGGAACAGGGAGGGCAGGATTCTGTGTTGTCCCAGGAATGACCCAGATGAAGTCACCCCTCCCTGCAAAAGTGAATCCATCTGGTGGTGAACAGGGTCTCAGCTACCATTTTTTTTGTTTGTTTGTTTGTTTTTTTATTCTTCATTTTAAGAATAAGACATCAGAAGGTTCATTGGAAGCCACGTGGGTGGGAATTTGTCACCTTTCCCTGTTGGCTGTCTTGATTTAACAGATGAATCGGAGTCGCTTGTCTAAAGCCCTTCTCCACTTCTTCATGTCCCTACTCAGCCTCATTCAGGTCTCTCTTCCAAGCCCTCTAAAGATGACCGCTGTCCTGGCCTCTAGCCCCTCGTCTATGTTTGTCAGTTTCAAATATATATATGTCCTTTGTTGCTTAACTTGTTATTATAGATCACTGGGAGTTGCAAAGACTGTAGGGAGGTCCTTAGAGGAATCACTCCCAGACTCTCCTACAGTTGAGGGGGGGGGGGACTGGGGGTGTGGCTAAGTCGGTAGAGTCCGCATCTAACATGCACAAAGCCTGAAGCCCTAGCTCACCAAACCACGTAAACCAAGCATGGTTGTACATGACTGTAATGCTGTAATCCCAGGACTCTGTGGGTACATGGAGGAGGATCAGAAGTTCAAGATCACCCTTGGATGTGTAGGAAGTTTGAGACCAGTTTTGGACACATGAGACCCTGTCTCAAATGAAACTGACACACAGCTTCCAAGTTTTTTCAGGTCTCATCCTTTTTACGAGAGAGAGGTTGAGACTGATTCTGTGCAGTTTTGTCAAATGAAGATTTGGGTGACTGCCACCAATATCAAGATGCATGGCTGTTCTATCACTGAAGACTCTCGTGCCAGCCTTTGTCACGCTTCCTCTTCCCTCCTCTGTGCTTTTTATTTCTTTTTCATTAAAACTCGTGCTGTTTCCATAATATCCTGTAATTCCACCATTACCTGTTGTTTTGACAGCAGGTTCATTATTAAGCACAGGTACACAGTGTATATAGGAAATATACACAAAACAGAATGTATCAGTAACACTTTGCTCACACTCCACTGCAGGTTGAGTGAGCCAAACATGGCATCTATAAGTGGGCAGCTGGAAGAGCTGTACATGGCCCACAGTAGGAAGCACATGACCGACACCCTGACCTCTGCCCTCATGGATGCCTGTGTCACCACCTCCGCTATGCCCAGCAGACTGATGATGGAGCATGTCCTCTTAGTCAGCATCCTTCACCACACGGTTGGAATAGAGGTACCACTGTGCCCTTTCTGCATACACTGACGGTGTCATGTGGAATAGTGTTCTAGCATGGAGTCGGGGAGTTTGAGAAGTTAAGGCATTGGGAAGCTCAGGACAGAGGAGAGAGGGCCTAACTACCTCAAAAGCCCTGCTGTGCAAGATCTGCATTGACTGTCTCAGGAACTGTGCTTCTGTAGTGCGTCCCCCACCCCAAGGGCTATGCTTATTTTCATGTGTGAATGCCTGAGTCCATTTTCTTGCCATTACAAAGTGTAATGGACGCCCTGGACAGCTTTCCTGGTGCCCCATAATCACAGTAATTGACGCTATTCTATGGCTGTTGTGGTGCCTCCCCCACCCTGTACCACACTGGGACAGTTTAGCAGACTTAATCAAAGTGATTTGAGTGCAGACAGCATTTCAGTGAGTTATTTTAAAAGTCATAGATATGACCACCACAGAACATCAGGAATTTACTTGATCTGAAAACCTGAAATTATTGGTCCCACTTCCCATTTAAACCTTTGCTAATAGCATGAAGGACAATGAGATGACTTGTTCAAGGGGAAGTCATTAGAGTACTTTAGCTAATGGCATCCACTAAAGCTTGTGCCAGATAGGCTGCGTTCTCAGGATGCTGGTTCCCATTAAACTGCACTGAGAAAAACCTCCCAGGCACTCATGGAAGAAAAAGAATGTTACAGCTGTTCTCAGCTACTCTGTGCCTTTTCTCAATCACTTAACATTCAGGCCTTTGCAGATTTATGCTAAAATTCACATACCAGAATCAGTGTTGGCAACATGAGTTTTTTTCCTATCTCTAAGTTATACTAGTATGTTTAATTTTAAACATTAATATTAACATTAATAGAATTTAAATTTTAGCCTGTTACATAATTGCACCTATTTGTGTGCTGAAAACATACTTGAATTAGTGTCTCAGTGTTTCTTGCTCTCGGAAGCATCTGACTCTGTTAACATTTTCCAAGATGGTGGTGCTACTAGGAGAGGGTGTGCTTGGGTTTCTCTCCAGGGAATCAAGCCTCAGGCCTTTAGTTTGGGCCTCCAGAAATCAATATTGCCAGTCTTTCTAGCTTCATGGTTTTGCAGTCTAGCAATCCTGTGTGTACTTGCCCATTACACTCTGGGCTGAATGTGGATCATCTGCTCTTGTACGTCTACATGTCTTACCTGATGTGAATTTTAGCATTAAATATGCACAGGTCCAACTGACAATAAAACAGATTTTGACTAGCAGACCACAACCTGCTCACCCTTGCCTAGTTCCTGGAGATCCAGACCAAATGCTGGGGCTCACAGCCAGTGATGCCTACCCTGCCAGTCTCTCCTCAGTCACTCTCATGAGCAGCCCTTTCTTTCCCGTCTGTCACAGCTGCCTTACTCATCTCCCAGCTGGGTATCCTGCAGGAGGAAGTAGTCATAAGATGATGCTACCAGCAGGAGTGACTGCCATTTCTACCTTCAGGTTTCACTGCCTTCGTTCAGATCCACCACAGGTTGATCTGGCCTTCTTCTTCCCCAGCATACACTTAGGAATTGTAAATTGAATGTTCTAGAACAGCAAAGGGACACACCATAGTGACCTTGCCCAGCTTCATCGGGCATCAGGTGGGAAGCAAGCTCCTTTATGCGGAGCCATCTTGCCGTCACTGTTTTTTAAAGAAAAAATTTTAAAACATTTATTTATTTATCATGTATACAGTGTTCTGCCCACACGTGTCCTTGCAGGCCAGAAGAGGGCACCAGATCTCATTACAGGTAGTTGTGAGCCACCATGTGGTTGCTGGGAATTGAACCCAGGTCCTCTGGAAGAGAGGTCAGTGCTCTTAACCACTGAGCTATCTCTCCAGCCAGCCCTAAAGAAATTTTTCTAGGGAGCCACAATGACATCTGGCTAAAACCCACTTTGTTGTTGATTCTAAAGAAATGGGAGTATTTTTACAGACAAGGTTTGTATGCTGAGGCAGGCCCTCAGTACTGTGTTGATTATTAGAATCTTCTCATCAGTATGTGAAGCCTGGGTTCCTGGAATCTGCATTCTTAGTTACCAGCTCCCTGCTGGAGCCCTTACCCCACCTGCACTCATGTTGTGCTTTACAGGTGTTTGTGCAGTTTGACAGGCAGGTCCAGGATGACGTGATGACATTTCTTCATCTCCTTCAGGTTGGTGCTTGCTTCCTTGAGGCCGTGGTGAAGAAGTTTGATGATGTCTATAAAGATGGAGGTGAGGGGAAAGAACTGGACAACCTGTTTACCATGATTGCCCATTTGTACAACTTCCACGTGGTACAGTCTCTCCTCATCTTTGACATTTTGAAGAAGCTTGTTGGAACTTTTACGGAAAAAGACATTGAGCTGATCCTGCTGATGCTGAAAAATGTGGGCTTTGCATTGAGAAAAGATGATGCCTTGTCACTTAAGGAGCTGATCACAGAAGCCCAGGCCAAGGCCAGTGGGGCAGGCAGCAAGTTTCAGGACCAGAACAGGGTAGGAGTGCCACTCGCCCTGCTGAGTGCCCGTGAAGCACATAGAGTGATGGCGTCAATGAGTGTCTGGCTGAGCGCTCGTTCGCACCCTAATGCTCTTGTTCTCTTCTGCCTTTCCTAGCACTGTCCTTTGTCTTTAGTCTGCAAACTGACCTTGGTTTTGAGGGGTTTGTTTTTGTTTCCTTGCATTTTTGAGATAAAGTCTCATTATGTAGCCCAGGCTGGCCTCAAGCTCATGATCCTCCTCTGAGTGCTGGGGTTACAGGTATGTACCACCATATGATGCTTGAACCTTGTTTCTTCATTAAGAACCCATACATATTTTATGATTATAACAGATTTGTTTGCCCTCCCAGAAGCTGTTTCCCAGGCCTCGGTGTCAGCCTGGGTCGGATGTGTGGCACTGTGTCTGAGCAGCAGAGACTTAGTCTTGCCAGCCAGTTTCCTCTATAACATGGGCTCACAGCGCCCACCCCATCTGAGGGCTTAGGACAGTACCCGAGAAACCCCCAGGAAGGAAGGAGACTGTGACCTGTCAAAGAGCACCAGTGTGGAAACCTGGGGGGTTGACCAGAGGAGAGGAGAGGGCCAGGAGCCAGGTTTTTTTTTTTCTTGGGTGGAGGAAGATCTGAGCAGATGGTTATTGGCAGATGGTCTTTGGGGGCCACTTTGACCCCACTGTAGAAAAGATGGGAGGTGGCCAGAGCGGGAATCTGGAAACAAAAGTAGCGTGTGTGAGTGTGGTGGCAGTGGATGTGGCCTTGGGAGTCAGAAGTAAGGGACTTGGAGGAGCAGGAACATGGGATGGGAATTCGGGGTCATCCTGAAGGATATACAGGAAGAGATCCGAGGAGATTATTCCCTTCTGGATATTCAACTTGGCATCTAGATTAAGTCTTGAAGAAGGATTTGCCAGAAAGGATTCTGGGTCACCCTCATACTAGGGCTAGGGTTGTGGGAGTGGAGGAGAGAAGTCCTCTGGATAGTGAACTACGTCTGTTTTAAAATACTCTGCTAAATGAGGTGTTAAAGGTATCACAGACCACCTCCAGGCTATCGGGGTTCTCATCAGTGGGGACCATGTGCTTCAGCCAAGATATGTCTTGCCCATGGCATCCCCAGTAACTGTTAAATGATGAGTTTGGTTACCTCTCCTTTAAGGTGCGGTTCATGTTGGAGACAATGCTGGCTCTGAAAAACAATGACATGCGTAAAATCCCTGGCTATGATCCGGAGCCTGTAGAGAGACTAAGGAAGTTACAGAGGACTCTGGTGAGTGACACCCTATTCTGGTTTCTCCTGAGTCGCCATGCCATCATGGACCCATTGTGACTGTGGTCACACTATGTGCAGTTCAAGTCTTAGAAACTGTGTATCTGTAGTGAGACCCTGGAACCTCCATGCACAGGAATCATCAAGTTGGTCGGATGCCCAGTATGAGTCTGCCGAGGTGCTAAGCTAAGGCTGTATGATAGGATCCTCTGTTGATACTCAGAAGGCCAGGCCCCACCTGGGACCAGGAAGCTCCTGCCGTACAGTGTGAAATAGTTACCAAGGTTGTTCTTGTCTTTAGTCACATAGTCATTGTTGTAGAGCCCAGGTCACACACATGTGGATAAGGAACCCATAGACTTCACAAACAGCGCGAGAGTTGATGGCTCTTTCTGGCCTTTTTCCAAACAGGCTAACTGTTCCGGTTGTCCATGATTCATTGCCATAATGCTACACCCACACTGCCGTTTTCAAACAAAGCATGACAGAAGTGCGGAGTATGAGCCAGCCGAAGCACTTCATGACGCCTTTTCTTTTCCTCAGGTACGCAATGCTGGCTCAGGTTCTGAGACTCAGCTTCGAATCTCCTGGGATGGCATCTTAAATGCAGAGCAGACTGGCCGCTGGTGGATTGTGGGGTCTGCATGGAGTGGGACCCCCATGATCGACAACAGTCATCAAACACTCTTACAGAAGCCACTCGCAGGAACGGTATGAGGACCCCAGTTGGCTGCCTGGCCTGCTCTGTCAGTAGTCTGCTCTGCCTCCACCAGCTCCCGTTATTCCCGAGTGTTCTTGGAGTGTACCGCACAGGCTTGTCGGGAGGCTTCATAGAAGTGGCTCCTGTCAACATAGGATTCAGTCCGTTTCTCTGCTGCTTAAGAATTTTTAAAAGTTCCAAAACCTGCTGGGTGGTGGTGGCAGAGGCTGGTGGATCTCTGTGAGTTCAAGGACAGCCTGATCTATAGAGTGAGTTCCAGGGCAGCCAGGGCTACACAGTGAAACCTGTGTCAAAAAAACAAAAATGAACAAAAAAGTTCAAAAACCCAATTCAAACAAAATCTAGAAATGGAGTGCAGTGAGAAAAGGGTGAAAATGAAACTCATTTGAGGAGCTGTTGTTGGAACTCAGGCACAGGCTGTTCCGGGAGGCGTATGTTCCAGTCCCTACTGTGGATTCAGGTTGTGACTCCAATTTCCTTTTTGACTTTCTTCCTGGGGACTGTGGTCTCACTTACTAATTCTGGCTCCCAGGCACTGGCAGCTGCTTGTATCTGAACTTGATCTTTATTTGATGCACAAATCTGACCCACAGAGCAGATCCACCTCCCGAGAAGGCTCCCACTGAGCTTTTCTCCCTGTAGGAGTTGCCTAAGAATACAGACATGGCATTTACGTGCATACATGTACATATGGTTTACAGTCACATTGTGCTCAAATGTGTATGTTACGCTTCAGAAATTCAAGTTCAGAAACATGCTATGCTAAGGAACAGTGTCCTGTTTCTGAGGAGACTGCTTGCATCCGGATGATGGGAGGGTCTCGACACTGTTCTCTTTCTTTTCAGGTTAGCTCCAAGATGCTGGAGCTTGCAAGGAAGCAGAGAATGAACACTGATGTCAGGAGGAACATATTCTGCACTATAATGACAAGTGAGGACTTCTTGGATGCCTTTGAAAAGCTGCTGAAGTAAGTATTGCTGTGAACATTTTGGTCTGTTATTTAATAGACATAACGAAGTACGTTGATCTAGCTTTTAACTTCGGGGTAATTTGATCCACTTTTCCATTACTTTCCTCTCACCTGGGTTTCTGGGTCCCATGTGAACCTCATAAGACATTGATCCCTACTAGTATGCCCTTAGTAAGTAGCATGTGTGTCATGAGGTGAGAGCTTGGCTGGCAGTGTTGGTAATCAGTCACCTGATAGTCTGTCAGGGCTGTTGGTTGTTGGGATTGTTGTCTCTTTCTGACTTATTTAGTTGTAAATTTTACAAAGTGTCTAACCATTTGGATCTTAAATCCTTCCTTTATCTGCTTCAAACTTAGAAATAAGTGCAAGTTTGATAACTGGTTTCTGAACTGGGCCTTGTTGTTATGGAAACCTTGAGCTTGCTTATGTTTCTGAGACCTTACTGTTCGCTGAATGTCAGTAGCACTGAGTCTCCCTGTCAGTGTCTGTCTCTGAGGACTTTGTTAAAGGAAGATTATCCTGTCCAGTTAAAGGGTCAGACTTGTCCATTTAACTTTGTATCACTGTGACAGAGAAAATCAACCAGAAGGAGGAAGAGTTATTTGGACCTATAGTTTTAGTCCACAGTCACTTAGCCCTGTTGCTCTGGTAGTGGTGGGATAATACATCATTACAGAAATGTGTGGTAGAAGAGACCTGCTTATTTCATGGAAGCTGGCAAACAGAAAGAAGACCAGCTTCCCTGTATCCCCTTGAAGGGCATGTCCCCAGTGACCTGACTTCCCTTCCACTTGGCCTCCTTCCAAGGAGGCCACCATGGGCTAGGGACCGGGCCCTCAACACATGACCTTTGGGAAATGTTTCAGTTCTGACTGATGTCCTTGATGTCAAAAAGGATTTCCTTCACCATTCTTACGGCCTAGTTAGTATTAACTTGACACGGCCTAGAGTCACCTGAAAAGAATCTCAGTAGAGTGCATATTTTGTGCATATTAAGGGACTATCTTAACTGATGCAAGACTCAGCCACTGTGGGCAGCATCATCCCAATCAAATAAGAACTAGCCTAGCATGAGTGAGCCAGAGGGTAAGCCAGTAAACAGCATTCCTCCGTGATTCCTGCCCTGACTTGGCTCAGTGATAGATTGTGACCTGAAAGTGTCAACCAGATAAACCCTTTCCTCCTCACGTCCCTCTTCACCACAGTGTTTTTATCAGACAAACATAAGGAAACTAGAACATCCTAGTTAATTTCAGTGTTTTCAAACCTTTAACATTGCTGGGCATGGTGGTGCAACCTGTCCTAGCACTTGCGAGGCTGAAGCTGGAGAATCTTACTTCCCGGGTCAGCTAGGATACAAAAGAAAATGCATCTCAGACTTAACAGTGACTCCCTGCCCGCCCCACTTTTATTCATGAACATCATTAGCCAGGCCAGGATCGTCAGTCAACTGTGTGAGGCCCTTGACCCCAGCATTGCAGCATTGCAGATTTTTTTTTCCGTCATTGTCTGTTCTTGTAACCATGGAACCCTATGGAAGGTGCAGCACAGCTGAAATGAAACTGGCTCTTTGGGGCCCACGCCCATCTTGAACGGCTCATGTGTGTCCTGGGGAAAGTGTGGGTAACGTGGCAGAAGAGTTGCTGTTTGTCTCCTGAGTCACAGAGCACCTGCCTTTGTCTACAGCTACTGGATTCAGAGGAGAGTCAGCTGGAGCTAGGGACATGGCTCAGTGCTAGAGGGTTTGCTTGGCGTGAACAGGACTCTGGGTTCAACTCCTGATGACCTCCAAAAGAAAAAAGACAATCGGTTGTGTTTAATCACCAAAAACTCAAGGCTGTGTGTTCTTCCACTCATGGGTAGACTGGCTGTGGGTCCTCTAGGTGCACGCTTCCTTGTAGTCGGCTTGCAGAAGACTAAGCAGCGAGGCCCACACCAGCACGGGTGCTTCTAAAATAGTCTTGCACTGGACAAGGAGCCAGACTTGGACAGCTACTTCCGGGCTGTTGACGCAGCAGAAGTAGAGGCACACAAAACATGTCTGTGTTGGCCTGTGTTTCAGGAGAGTGCCATGCTGCAAAGGAAGGAAGGGGGCGTAGGGGCTGTAGAACTTCCGTGATCCCACTGTGGTGGTTACTGCCTGGCCCTGTAGGCCTAGCCACACTCACAGGATTGTACACGGGAAAGAATGCATTTTGATGTGAGTTTTACCTGGGGGAAGGGTGTTTGGGGGTTCGAGACAGGTCTCCCTGTGTAGGTCAAGCTGGTATTGAGCTCACAAGTCTCCCACCTCAGTTTCCTGAGTATTAGCAGCACCACAGCTGGCACATTAAGTCATAAAAGTCAGAAAGTGTCGAGTGTGGTGGCGCACGCCTTTAATCCCAACACTCAGGAGGCTGAGGCAGGTGGATCTCTGAGTTCAAGGCCAGCTTGGTCTACAAAGCAAGTCCCAGGACAACCGGGGCTACACAGAGAAACCCTGTCTTGAAACAAAACAAACAAGTCAGAAATTAAGTGTCTGGTGAGATGGTGCAGCATTTAAGAGCACCTGCTACTACTCTTGCACAGAACCCAGGTTTGATTACTAGCACCCACGTGGCAGCTCACAAACACTATCTGTACTCCAGTACAGTAGGGCCTCAGATGCCTGCTTTTAGTCCCCATGGGCAGTAGACATACAGGCGATGCACAGACATGCATGCAAGCAAAACACCCATACACATAAAAATAAACATTTAAAAACATAATTTAAAAAATCAAAAAGTAAAGTCATTACCTTAACCACACCCAGCTTCATGGCATCACAGGAGAGACCTCTGTATTGTCTTCAAGAACCAAGTCCTTGGCTTTGTAGCTCTGCACTACAACTCTACAACTTGGAGTTGTATTGTGCCTCACACATTTCGCCACGTTGTTAGGAAAACGGAGACCCATAGAAGCTAGGAACAAGACTGGGTTGTGGCCATATGTGACTGCACCACCGTCTTTAACAACTCATTTTCCACTGGACCCCTCAGCCAGAGAGGGGCTGATTTTGCCATAAACATTGAAATTAGATTACGTTCTTAGTCTGACTGTTTGTCTGCAGACTTGGGCTGAAGGACCAGCAGGAGAGAGAGATTGTTCACATCCTCATGGATTGCTGCCTGCAGGAAAAAACCTACAACCCTTTCTACGCTTTCCTGGCTAGCAAGTTCTGCAGCTATGAAAGGAGATTCCAGGTAACTTAGAAGACCACCAGAATATCTAGATGGCTCATTACAGGAGTTCCATGTCCCATCATGGATCTTGTCCCTGCTAGGCAGCCAGGCCTTCCTGCATTGGAGAGAAGATGGAACTTACATCCCAAGGCAGCTTGTCTGTCACAGCTGGAAGGATTGTGGCCAGGCTGCCTGGACACCTCTATAGTGTTTCAGGGTACTGGTCTCGAATATGTGGTTATTGCTACCAACCTTTCTTGAAAGCCGTTGATGAGTAGGACAAAACTACAACCAAAGGGACGTCTGTGATGGTGTCAGGAAGGGACATGGAAGTTGCTCTTAGTCCTGACTTGGGTTGTTGACGAGGACTAAGAAATAGAGTACCTTTAGCGGATGTTCTTCATGAATTGTTCCACTGGTTTGCCGCATTTTAACTTTTTTCTTCTTTACTGTTGACTAGATGACTTTCCAGTTCAGCATATGGGACAAATTTCGGGACTTAGAAAATTTGCCAGCCACTAAGTTCTCAAATCTGGTTCATCTGGTAGCACACTTGTTGAAGACAAAATCACTTCCACTTTCTATCCTAAAGGTTTGTATAATGCAAGAAATTAGTAAAATTCTTTTATTTGGTGTATTTTAAAAATTGCATTTTTTGAACTTCTGAACTGTTTTTTGATTTTTTGAGACAGGGTTTCTCTGTGTAGTCCTGTCTGTCCTGGAACTCACTCTGTAGACCAGGCTGGCCTCAAACTCAGAGATCCTCCTGCCTCTGTCTCCCCAATGCTGGGATTAAAATAGGTGGGTGCCACCACCACCACCACCACCTCTAGCTATGAAAATGTTTTCATTGCCGGGCGGTGGTGGTGCATGCCTTTAATCCCAGCACTCGGGAGGCAGAGCCAGGCAGATCTCTGTGAGTTCGAGGCCAGCCTGGTGCACCAAGTGAGTTCCAGGAAAGGCTCAAAACTACACAGAGAAACCCTGTCTCGAAAAACCAAAAAAAAAGAAGAAAAAGAAAATGTTTTCATTATCATAGCCATCATAGAAAATATCCAATCAATACATAATGTAAATTGACTTAGAGAATTAGTGTCTGGTTACAGGGTTTGCATTGTTTTGCTTTACATTACTTTGTGTGTGTTTATGTGCATGAGCTTGAGTGTGCTGAGGTCAGAAAGCAGCTTTCAGAAGTTGGTTCTCTCTTTCCACCACATGGGTTCTGAGAATCAACTCAGGTCATCGGGCTTGTCAGCCAGCGACTTGAGCTGCTGAGCCATCTCTTCAAGTCCTAGTCATACAATGCTGCACTGGTCACAGCTCAGCTGGGAGCATAAAGTGAAGTAGGCCTTTGTCTTCAGGGTTATTACTACTGCTGTGATAAACACAGTGACCAGAAGCAACTTGGGGAGGAAGGGGTTTAGTTCACTTACACTTCCAGGTAACAGTCCACCACTGAGGGAAGTCAGGACAGGAACCTGGGGCAGGAGCTGATGCAGAGGTCCTGGAGGACCCACAATGGGTGGGTCCTCCTGAATCAATCTCTACAGCTCATTTTATGGAGATATTTTCTTAACTGAGGCTCCCTCCTCTCAGATGACCCTAGCTTATGTCAACTTGACATAAAAGTAGCTAGGACAGACTTTCCTCCTTTTAAATACATAGTTGTGGATCTTCACTGCAAAATACCTTAAGGCTGTAAGTTCCCCACCTAAAGCGCCAGTACGGAAGACAGTGAAGCCTAGCACAGGAGCTGGGATTCAAGGTGGGCTGCCAGTGTCCTAAGAAATCCAGAAGGAGGTAAAGAGCAGAGACAAGTCAGGGTCCTGAGTTCGGTGTCCTGTGGCATTACTGGTCTGCAGGGCAGCCTCCTGTGTCCTGTGTGCATTTGTCCTTCCTGCCTTTCATCCAAGTGTCTGCTGGTAATTCCTTGTGACTGTGAGAAGTGGGCAGGAGCCAATTGTGGAGGGTAGGGCTGTATTAGTCAGGGTTCTCTAAAATAACAACATATGGAATAAAATCTCTTGATACATATATAGAAAGGAGATTTATTAGAACAACTTACAGTCTGCAGTCCAGCTAATCCAACAATGGTTGGCTGTGAGTATAAAATCCAAGAATCGAATAGTTGCTGAGTCCATGACATTGGATGCCTCAGCTGGTCTACAGTACACACTGGAATCCTGAAGAAGTAGGCTCCAATGATAGTGAAGGAATGGACTTGCTAGCAAGGCAGGGCAAGCAGGCAAAGAGCAAAAGCTTCCTTCTTCCATGTTCTATATGGCTTCCAGCAGAAGGCATGGCCCAGATTAAAGATTGATTAAAGATCTGTCTTCCCATCTCAAGCTCTGGATTAGAAGTGGATCTTCCTTTTTCTTTTCCTTTCTTTTTTTTTTTTGTTTTTGTTTTTGTTTTTGTTTTGTTTGTTTTTGTTTTTCAAAAGAGATAAGGTTTTCTCTGTGTAGCTTTGTTCCTTTCCTGGAACTCACTTGATAGCCTAGGCTGGCCTCAAACTCACAGAGATCCTCCTGGCTCTGCTTCGAGTGCTGGGATTAAAGGCGTGCGCCACCACCGCCCGGCTGGATCTTCCTATTTCAAATTAAGCAGAAAATCCCTCACAAGTAGGGTTTTAGTTCTAAAACTAAGTTGACAACCAAGAATAGCCAGCACAGAGCTCCAGACATGCCCCTGACCCTGTTCCTAGTCTCTTGTCTGTGCCCTTGGCTCTTCTCAGGGGAGCCACTCTAACACGTTCCTTGTTCCTAGGCATGCCTTTGTGCTGTCCTGTGCCTGTGTCTGTAAGCAGAGTGTGTGGGCATAGCTCAAGCCTCTCTAGGCAGAACCTTGTTACCAGATCGTGTACCTGGGCAGCTGTTTTTTTTTTTTTTTAGAGTATGGGCAATTTTATTAGCATTTTAAAGAGGAAAAACTACTACAGGCAAGCTGTAAAACCTCAGCAGCTGCCTAGAAGAGAGAAGGAAAGTGACCATGCCATTTAAGCTGGCCTAGAGGTCAGTCACAAAACAAAATAGGCTGCTGTGGGATAAGATTGGATGCTTTAGAGAAAGAATAAAGAAGCCCAAGATTTTGGGAGGAAAAGCCCAAAGTGTTAAGAAACATGTTTGGAAGAGATGTGAAGCTCTATTTGAATTCAACTTGAGTTTGTGTTGTCTCCGTGTTCATGTCTGTGGTTCTCTACGTAGTGACTTCTGCATGGAAGTCCATGGTGTACATATAGTTTGCTTATCCTACTGCTAAAATTGAGTGAGATGCTTTTCTGGGAAACGCATACCTGTATGTGTGCTAATTGGCCTCTCCTCTAACCTACACTCTCTGTATAGGGTTGTCACTCAAGAGTGGCTACTTCAGAGGACAGGAGCAGTACCTGTTTGCCCCCACTAAGTAAACCTCAGGTTTGGAGTGTATATCCCTGTAGCTATGATTGCCGTTACCCTGTGGCTCTCGGCCTAGGAGCCAGCCCACCCTACCAGCAGCATTCTGTGTGCATGCCAGCATTCTGTGTGCGTGCCAGCATTCTGTGTGCATGCCAGCATTCTGTGTGCATGCCAGCATTCTGTGTGCGTGCCAGCATTCTGTGTGCGTGCCAGCATTCTGTGTGCGTGCCAGCGGTTGCTGTTGCCGAGAGCAAAAAGGGCCCCAAGTCATGGCAACGCTGAATCAGCAGGATGATGTTTTCCTATCTCCTGACCCTTAGGTAGTCGAATTCAGTGAACTGGATAAACCCAGAGTCCACTTCCTCCGGAGAGTATTGACTGAGCTGTTGATGGAAACAGAAGAAGACGACCTGGGTTTAATTTTCTCAAGGTACGTGCCCAGTATTTCCTGATAAGACATGGGAAAAGAGCAGATTGTCATTTGAGCAAGCACGGAGGTTATTCCCGTTTCACTGCTGTTAGTTTATAAAGCCAGGGTTGTGCCTAGTGCATGATTTTAGACCTAATTCTAAGCTCTAACATCTATGCACTGGATTGAAGAATTGCAAGACTTGCCTAATAGAGAGCAGTGGTTTGTAACGGTACATGTGTTAAGCTGTTCTTTGGGTTTCTTTTCATTTTCTTCTTATGAGGCCTCTGTGCTAAGCTTATGCTTCTACCACTGAGCCTCATCCCTAGCCCTCAAGAAGATCTTAAGTGAAAGCTGGGCATCTTGGTTCATACCTGTAATCCTAGAATTTAAGAAGCTGAGGGAGAAGAACTGCTATAAGCTCAAGGCAACCTGGTGAATTTGAGGCCAGACTAGGATACAGAGTAAGGCCCTGTCTCAGAAAAAAAAGAAAGAAAGAAAGAATTTTTATTTTGCTTTTTGGATTTGTTTGTTTGTTCATTTTATTTTGTTTGTGAGACAGGATCCCACTATATATCCCTGGCTGGCCTAGAGCTTGCCATGAAGACCAAACTGACCTCGATCTCACAGGTCCACACCTGCCTCTGCCTCACCAGTGCTGGGATTAAAGACATGCACCACCACACCCAGTAAAAAGAGGTTCTTTTTTGTGTGTGTGGTGGTGGTGGTGGTGGGGGGGGGCGGGGGTTCGAGACAGGGTTTCTCTGTGTAGTTCTGGTGCCTGTCCTGGATCTCACTCTGTAGACCAGGCTGGCCTTAAACTCACAGAGCTCCATCTGGCTCTGCCTCCCAAGTGCTGGGATTAAAGGCGTGCACCATCACTACCCAGCCAAAAAGAGGTTCTTAGCAAAGAATCCTACTTTAGAAGATACTGGGTACAACCAGTTATGGCAGTATGTGCCAGTAGTCCTAGCACCTCGGAGACTGAGGCAGGAGAGTTCCAAATTTGAAGGCACCCTAGGCTGCTTTGTCCTTAAAAAAAAAAAAAAAAAAAAAAAAAAAGAAGCCAGGTAAAGTGACACTCTTATGGTCACAGCTTTTCTAGAGGCTGAGCAAAGGAGGATCCAGTCCAACTTAGACAGCATAGCAAGGTTCTGCTAAAAATTGATTTCCTTAAATAAGGGCCAGTGTGGGAGTGTCTCAATAGCAGAGCTATTCAGATGATGGGTCTGATCCCATCATCCAAAAAACAAATGTCTAAAAGTAGATTGTGCCTTGCCGCTCGAGCTAGCAGGCACTGAGATCTGGAAGAACAGCTCCTCCCTGACCTGTGTCTCCAATTCCCTTTCAGAGTTTCTGACAACCCGAAGCTGGGAATGTTGCAAGAAGGCCTGAAGCTCTTCATCAGCCACTTCTTACTGAAGCACACACAGACTCTCCAGAATGCTGAGGAAGCCAGTCTGCTGAGAGAGAGGGCAGGCCTGGCATCCAAGTCTTTACAGGGCAAAGCCATCCTGAGGATGTAGCCAAAAGATAGGGAGCATTTGACCAAGAGGTGTCACTTGTGAATTCAAAGGCCTGTCCTGCCTCTCTAAGAGCAGGGGAGTTATGCCATGGTCTGTCATGGTTTAAATACTATAGTTTCAGATTTTTTTGAACCCAGGGTTGTACTGTGTATTTCAAATGTATATGTATGTATATAATAGATGAAAGGGAAAGGGGAGAGAAGATGGGGCATTAAGCCATGAGGAGAGGGGGAGATCATAAATTGATGGCTATTTTTAATCTTCTGAAACGCTTGTTAAAAGTTCAGAAACTGAGCCTAGCATGGTGGGCATGCCTCCAATCCCAGACTCGTCAAGCACAAGCAGGCAGATCTGTGAGTTTGAGGCCAGCCTGGTCTATCTAATGAGTTCCAGGACAGCCAGAGCAAATCTGATTCTTCCCATTCATTAATCCCACCTTGGGGACTATTTGATAAGGCTATTTCAGATAGATACTGGGTACCTGGTGAGAACAGAGAGAGAGATGAACATGACTGTAAGTGATTATGGTGGGTAAGGAATTAGCACGGGCTCACTGCTCGCTGGGGTGCTACAGTTGAGGAAGAAGGAATGGCCTTGGATACATACTTCTGTGAATGCATAAATACTCTTTATTTTTCAGCCTTAAAGTTTGCTTCTCTTTCAAGTGCTATAGACTTGACTAACCCTGACCTTCAGGATGAAAAGCAACTAAATAGAAGTAAAAAAGGTCCTAAATCAGAGCCCTTCTGCCCAGCAGTGTCCCATGTAGAGTGCACATTCCTGGGAGGTAGGCACAGACCAGGGATGCTGCTCCTGTATAAGTCATCTCTTCTGTTTGAGTTTGAACAGCATGTCCCTGTAGTGGTGTGTTTGAGTTGACCATGTATAGTCAGGAGGTCTGTAGCAGGAATCTTAAAAGTTCTTATTAATAAAATCAAACCTGAGGCCAGTTATTGGGGTCAATGCTGGTAGATCAGAGAGACAGAACAAGCCACAGCTAACCTCACCTGG